AATATAACGACTGGAGTTTCAGACGTGTCTTATTGGGCCAACTATTCTAAGGGCCTTGTTGCACATACAAGACTCCCTGGCCTATTCCTAATTTCCTACCCCTAACAATAACTCAATAAGGCCCAAACCTACCCTTCTAGGCTACCTGATTCTATTCCAACTTTAGCAATAACAACAACAACAACAACAAAAAAAAAGGGGGGGGGGGGGGGGGGGGGGGGGGGGGGGGGGGGGGGCAGTGGGGTCTGTACTGTTTCCATTGTCCATTGCTATAAAAATCAGCCCTTGCAAGATGAGACACATCAAACACAACTTCATTTAGTTTTGCTCACACACACACACACACACAGAGATATGGCAGGCAAGGGAGAGAAGGAAATGGCAATGGGGAAAGAAGAGCAAGAAGGTGGCAATGGTGACAGCAGTAATAGTATTGGAATATTTCCAGGGCCCAAGAAGGAAATTGTGTTTACTAAACAGAAAGAAAGAATTTGTCTCTACTATGATATGATGGATAAGAAAATTGTTAGCTGCTAAACTACTTGTGCAATCAAGAAGAATAAACACGAAGACGATTCATTATATTCTGACTGCCTTGTTCAAATTGTTTCTTCTGTAAGTACCGTTATGTTCTCTTGATCTTGGAAAATGTCCCGGTTTCTGAAAAGTATGTGCTCTGGGTTCCTGACCCAAGTTGATTTACATATGCTTGTGGGTTCGACCGTTCAATCCCCTGAGAAACAACCATATGAGCTCTCTTCAGGTACTCCAAACTGCATTCTGTTAGCCAGCTTCCGCATGTCTGTAATGGCATACCTAGTGAAAGTTTATGAACAAGTTAGCTATGTTAGATACAACTATCTATTATTAGATTGCATCACACACAAGTCAAGAAAATGCAGGTTTATTTACCCTATAAGTTGGAAGAAATCATAAGTACGTACCTTTCTTTCATCTTCCTCAGTCTACGTCCACCCCTCTTTTTTTTAGGTTCAGAATCTGGAACAGGAAGTGGTCTAGGCTGTTTGGCAGGAGGTGGCTCTTGCCATTTCTCTATCTTCTTACGAACCTCTTCTAGGAGAGATCGCCCAGTTTTCCCCGTTGGGTCTCCCCTTGTTGAATCAACACGTGCAGCAAGGGTAGCTTTCGCAGCTAACAGTCGACAGGCACGCATCCTTAAAGGAGGAGGTGTGCTCTCAAATACTTCTGTCTGCTCAAGGAATCCAATGCGAAATTGGGATGTTGCTGTAGAGAACCCAGCAAGGTTCTTCTTTTTAGCACCAAGAAGCTGCACATTACAAGCAGGCATCTTTGCCAATGAGGAAAGACCACCAGCAGTCCCCATAAGTTTTGCAGCAACACCACTTCCTACAATAGCTGAGAGGTTTGGAGCAATATACCCCATTCGACTCTCAACAAAATCTACGACTTTCTTCTTTGCTGAATCAAGAGCAAACGCACGATCACAAGCTTCAATTGTCTTTTGCAAGACATCTTCAGGCAGTGGCTTGCCATTTGTAGTTGATGCTGTAACTGAAACAACCATAATAATAGCTGAAGGCAAAAATCCTTCCAGATCAACAAGGGTGAGGTCCATCTCATTCCCAATTTTCTTAACCACCCGGGCATAATCAATTGGGTGGTGAACAAGAGACTCCAACTCTGGGAATTTTAAGCGGTACTTATCACGTATGAAATTATGAATTATAATAATTTCATTCTCAATATCAACTGACAATGCATTACAATCTACAATCACCTGGTACTCCGGATCATCTTCTAGAACCATCCCTGTTTCTGAGTTTTCAGAACCCTTTTCTAGTGCTTCTTCTACTTTCTCCATAGAATCTACAATCTACAATGAACTGATTACTTGAAAATGCCAAAAGACCACAAATCACAATCCAAAAGAATTTTCAAGCCACCTTATTACTTATTACTAGAACATTAGGGTACTAATTGAGCGAAAATTCAAATTCATATTTAGGTGAGGGACTTCCAGCCTTGCAAATATAGAAAGAATAACGAGTGTAGAAAAGGAAGTAGCAAGAAAGAGTAGAATCAATGTTGGGGAAGAGTACCTTCAATGGCTTCTCGTTCTCGAATACGTTTTTTGAAGACTGGAGAACAAGGAGGCGGAGTTCAAAGCTCTACTCGCCGTTGTCGCCGGGACGGAGACCGAAATTCGCAGGGGAGAGAGGCGGGGGGCGGAGACCGGAAATTGAGAGATTTTAGGAATTAGGTTTTGTTTTTTGGGTTCGATTTTAAACATCTTTATATATATAAAGCAGAATCTTTGTTTCCCTCCAAAACTATGAATGGACATTGGAAAAATGAGCTGCAGCAATGGGATAGATTTAGCCCAAAAATTAAAAAAAATGTAATTATATATTGGCCAACATTTGTTATATTAAAACTTTTATCTTTATTATGTTATATTATTTAGTGTAAAAAAATTCCCCCCCCCCCCCCCCCCCCCCCCCCCCCCCCCCCCCCCCCCAGCCTAAGTGTGAATGCATATTAATAGATTTGTAAGATCATTATTTTTTTTTTTTTTGTAAACCACAAGGTGGTCCGGGTCTTTCTTTGTCCGTTTAACTTTGTAAGGTCATTATTGCAAATCAGATTAGCAATATGAATGCATTTGTTATCTTAACATTTAAATATTACATTGTATAGCTATACTTACATTTTTTAATGAAACTAATTCAGCTTTGTATCATAACGTTACAACGATACTTATAAATTTTTGTTCGTGCATCGCACAGGGCATATTCATTTAAACCTCAATTATAATTAATTTGACTATTGATAAATTTGTTAAGTCAATTGCTTACATTTTTAATCAAACTAATTTTGAGATCAAGAACTCAAGTACGTTTTTCTGTTTCCACAACCATTTCTTTGCTAATTCAGATGATGTCAAAAATTTAATTGGTAAATTTGTTAAATTAATAATAGCTCGTGCATCGCACGGGACAATTACTAGTATATACTATACTACAGTAATATCTACCTATCTATCTACTATATACTATATCTACATCTACAATTCTAATAAGAGTCAAAAGACAATGCTACCCAAAAGAGAATTAAGAAAAATTAGATAAATTTGTACAAAAAAAAAAAAAAAAAAGATAAATTTATACAAAAAGTCATATTTATTTAGACTATCGTTTTTAGACTAAGTATTTAGACTAGCGTTATTACAGAGTTACAAACATTTATTTTAGTGACAATATAATCAATCTCTCATATATATATCTTGCTTTTTTATACTTTAAATTACCGATTTAAATAAATAAATTTAATATTTATTTATCTATGCATGAACATCTCCGATATAATATTGGATTGATATGCTTTGAAATGCTTATTTAAAAATAATCATTGGACATTATTTTATTTGCGCAAAGCGCGTAACAAAACTAGTATACTAATATATACTAATAAGAGTCAAAAAAGGGTTAGGGGATCGAAAAAATGACAGTAAATTTTTTTAATCAAATGAATGACTTAGATTGATCATATTTTAATTTTTTCTTGAGATTTCCTATTTTTTTTAATCAAATAAATAGCTCAAATTGATCAAATTTTAATTTTTTCTTGAGATTTTCTAATTTATCATTATTTATATGATTATTCGTCGTTAAATATTATCTTCTTCGTTAATTTCTGTTAGTTCACCGTTAACTTACTCATTGATTTCAATAAAAAAAAAGGTCTTAGGTTCAAACCACATCCCAATCAAAGTTGACATAATTAGTACTTTATTTTACTCTTATTAAATTACTAGTTTTACACACGCATGGCGCGAATAAGTTAATGCCCAATGTTTATAATTAATAAAAGACGACATCAGACGAAATCAGTCAAAATCGAACAAAATCAGTCAAAATCGGATGACTCAGCCGAGTTGGCCGATTTTTTTCGATTTTGGCCGAGTTGGCTGCCTAGGCGGCCAGCCGAGGAATGACCGACTACATTCAAAAACAGCTCGGCATGGCAGCGCTTAGGCGCCGCCTAGGTCGAGTTTTACAACACTGGTAGTAATAGTGTATTAATTATCAAGAAATCAAGAACACAATATATAGAAGAGTGGAATTGTGGGAAAGTAGAAAAATTCATGTAAAGTGTTTGCATGTTTAATTGGCAAATTATGATGTCCATCCGTATGCACCCTGCATGGTGCATACGGATGCAAAAACGACGTCGTTTTGCATAAAACGCGTGCCCTACTTAAAAAAAAAAAAAAAAAATCAGTTTCGATTCCCAGCAACAACATTATGTTATTCATTTTTAGTTCATTCATTTTGGATTTTTTAGTTATGAAATTCTGGAAGTGTAGTTATGCAATTCTGAAAGTGTAGTTATGCGATTCTGGATGTGTAGTTATGAAGTTATGGATGTGTAGTTTTGCAATTCTGGAATTATAGTTATGCAATTATGGATGTGTAGTTATGCAATTCTGGATGTGTAGTTATGCAATTCTGAAAATGTAGTTATGAAATTATGAATGTGGCAATTCTGATTTTTTTTTTTTTAAGTTAGACGCCAAAACGACGTCGTTTTTGCATCCGTATGCACCATGCATGGTGCATACGGATGCACGTCATAACTCTCCTGTTTAATTTGGGCGGGCCACATTACAAAATCAATATTATATATAATGTTTTACTTCATCACTGAGTTCTCCTTTAGATAGATAAAATTATATCTACCTCAGCTCCATCTTCAATTCTATTACCATTGCTCTTTTCTTCTTTTAATTTTGTTTGTTGTTCAAGCCTCCAAAAAGCTTAGCTATTAAATTATTGATGCAAATTATCTTCTCAAGTTTGTGGAGGACATTTTCAATTTCAATGCGGTTTGTCAATACACTTGCATTAAACTATTTTTAAAATTATTTTCTAAACAAATATATAGATTTAGTTACCATTTATATATATGCACCTATAGTGAGTGAATTTTTATGGTAGTATTTGTCCAGGCAAGAACCGAGTCTAATGCGTCTCATTATTGCAATGCTTGCTCATTTACAAATGCATGTTTCCACTGAATACGAAGCAGGTAAGCAAACCATAACAAAAATGTGTTGGTCTTAAGATTCTTCTTTGTTCAAATTATGAACTCTTCTATAGATTTCTTGTTCCCGGGCATGTTTTGCAGCAAGGGCTTCCTCGTCGAGCACTTTTATAGGTGACCATTCTGGCAACTTCAACCAGCTGTCCTTGCTGCCAACGCCCGAGTTATAGTATCTTCTCAGGACAGGTTTCAATTTGAGAGTGGCAAAATCAACTGACGTTCCCACAACAGCAAAGGCGACAGAATAACGAATAGCACCAAGTTGGCCACCTGGAATAGCATTCAAACAGAGCACTTCAACAACCGTCCTAAATGAGCACAAAACACATAGATGATCTAACACACAACGGTCCAACTTATGGTGATAGTAATCGTTCCTAAAACTGACCAAGTTATACAACAGCAGTAAGAAAGAATTGGCAGATCATCAGAAATTTAGCTTCCGGGGAGAATTTACACAACAGTTGCAAAGAGACTACCAAAACAAATCTTTTTCAGATGTATGAACTAACGAATTGCATTTGTACCATGGTGATGTTTTTATGTACAAATAGAGGCATGAAGTTTTACCTTGAAGCCTTCCCAAAAGAGCACCACTACCAAAACCTCCAATTACCGAATTCAACAAGTCATCAGGTTTTCCAGTTCTACTTACTCTTACAAACTCTCGAGCACCTGGAAAACATCAATGTCACCACAAGCATTGATCTCAATAGCATCCCAATTGTCATTTGTCTACCAAAATATCTCTTGGAAAGGATAGATCATATACTGATCAGCAGTCAGCATTTCATATAAAAAAAATCATTCCTTTTTAAGAGTATAATATAAAATATAATACCCAGCTATATAATCCTTTAACTGCTCCTTTTTCCAGCCCTCTTTTTTGGAAATTAGAATCATCATGATTTAAAAAAATGCAATTACGTAAATATTCCAATACACAAACAATGAAAAACAAATTACCACAATAACAGCCAGTAACGATGGCGAAATTGGTTGCATAAGTGGCGGAAATATTAGCAAGGCCATGAACTTTTCGATGCTTTGATACCAATCCAGCTCCTCCGCCAGAAATCCCTAAAAGGGAACAAAACAGGGGGAAAATCATATAAAATCAGAAAATTTGAAGAACTTTTGTGCTAGAATACAATGTTGAGTAGTATACCTGCGAGTATAGTGGGGACGAGAATCCGTTCCTTCCAACTCGGAGATGAAGAAGATGCAACTCTTTCTTGAGTTTCATCACCCGCGGCCATGATCTCCGTCTGCTCCACCTTCAAAGTTCAGACTTTCGATTTCAGCAGAGCCAATGGCGATGGAGAGTTCATTCAACTATATTCTGGAGCCTCGCCGAGGATGCAGTGAGATTTGCATTTTGGCCGGTAACCCACTTTTCTAATATGCAGCCAAATCAAGAACCCAATCCTGGTCATTGTTATGGAAGAAGATATCATCATCAGTATGATCAGATGGAGATGGGAGGTATCAGTACAAGTGCTTTTAACTACACTACTGGAGTCGATAATACTTTTTGTAATATGGTACACCAAGATCAAGAACCCAGTAATCATGCTTATTATCATCAGTTTGAGATGGGGAGTAACAGTACAAGTGCTTTTAACTCTGGGCTCAACTTCTCAAATCAAGAACCCAGTAATCTTGCTTATGAGCAGTATCAGTTTGGGATTTGGGAGTGGCAGCAGTAGTGTACGTGAACTATCGAGTCAACTTCTGTATTCTACTAATATGCTCCCAAATCAGCATATACTCGTCCCTGCTAATGTTAGATTATGGATAATTTTTTTGTTAATAATGAATTCTTAGTTTGATTCTCTATTTTCATGATTTCTACATCTGATCTGTCAACTACAACACTATTACACTTCACTTTATAAGTTTATAGTTTATGGTGAATCTGTTTCTGGTTTTGTTCAACATGTGGGTAAATCTGTAAAAATGACACATAATTTCTTTACAAATTCTACAATGTCGAAATCATCAGATATTTAGGTGCCTAATTTATTTGTCCCTTTACGGTGCAATAGTGCAGATCTCCTTTCTGTGCTCTTATTGTTCCTGATTCATATATTCTCTCTCTTCCCAGCATTGATGTGTGCTTGTTTAACTTTATAGTGGCTGAAAGGCTTCAGCCAAACAAATAATTGTTGTCTTTATGGTACTACCATATGTATTTTTTTTCTCCTTTTTCTCTAGAATGGAGTTTCAATTACAAGAAAGGAATTATAAACATCTCTATGAAGTAAACCATCTCTAACTAAGTAAATTTGCAGATTATGAATGAAAAAAAAAACAGGCAAAAAAGAAAGGTATTTAAACTGCATAAGCCATTAAGATTGAGATTTTATATTACAATTTGCTGAAACAGAATGTCTTTCTCCTTCAGTAATTGTAAATTTTTCTCTTCAAGACTAGCATGTACATCTCAACATTAAGACAGAAGTGAATAAATAATATTCTCAACATGTACAATATCTGATCCAACAATATGTAGTATTTACAATTGCATGAACTTTACATTTCCTAGTTGTCTAATTCTCTTTTCAACTTTAGACTACAAAACGAAGAGTTCCTGTTATGTTCTCGGGCAAAAGCACGTGTCACAGGGCGATTAGGGTTATTGGGGATATCTATGTTGAGAGATAAATTTAAGGAACAAAGATAATAGGAACGTTTTGAGAGTTTTCCCACCTCTTGATTTTAACTTTACTTCATTCTTGCTTGTTATTTTATTAGAATGAAAAAACCCTTTATATTAGAGGGTTACAAAGACTAGTAAAACATAAAAAGGAAAGGAAGACTAACTAAAACATAAAAAGGAAAGGAGAATCATTAAAGCTCCTTAGCCTAATTATTTGCTATCTCTATAGGAAATAAATCAATTCTAAAAGTAAAGATAATAAATCAATTCTAATAATAAAGATATTCCCTTAATCATCTTATCAGTTCCCTACATGATTTTTAAGAAGTAAAATGAAAATATTAGAAAGGAAATTCATCAACGAAAAAATGAAAAAATACACAAGCAGGTTACCACCCTATGGTCAGTAACTAATAAAATTCAACAGGGGCAATCTGAGCAACGACTCCACTATGCAAAATATGGGAGTTTGGCAGAAGAAAATTCTATTTGAAAATGCCAAAAGACCACAGATCACAATCCAAAAGAATTTTCAGGCCACCTTATTACTTATTACTAGATCATTAGGGTACTAATTGAGCGAAAATTCAGTCATATTTAGGTGAGGACTTCCAGCCTTGCAAATATAGAAAGAATAACAAGTGTTGAAAAGAAAGTACGAAGCAAGAGTACAATCAATGTTGGGGAAGAGTACCTTTAATGGCTTCTCGATCTCGAATACGTTTTTTGAAGACTGGAGAACAATGTTGGGGAAGTAACTTGGCTCTGAATTTCAAATCTTCGATTTCCAGCCTTCAAGACTGATATTTCATACTCCGTATTAGAAACAATAGAAGAGGCGGAGACCGGAAGCAGAAACACTCAAACACCTACCTTCGTCTACAAGGAGGCGGAGACCGGAAGCAGGGGAGGCGGAGTTCAAAGCTCTACTCGGCGTTGTCGCCGGGACGGAGAGCGAAAATCGCAGGGGAGAGATGCGGGGGGCGGAGATCGGAAATCGAGAGATTTTAGGAATTAGGAGTTTTTTTATTATTATTTAAAAATAAAAACAACCGGCATTCAGTTGGGCAAATTATATCGTGCACTGCGGAGCACAACCGATTATGCACCGCGCATCAAAATGATGTTATTTTGTTTAAAAGTTTTTTCCACTTTTGGTCCCTTGACTTTACTTGTACCGACAAATGTGATTCATGACTTTTATTTCAGACAAAATTAGTGCCCAACTTCAATTTCTTTTCCACATTTAGTCCCATCCGACCAAGAATCCAGCCAACCCACCGGAAATTTACACATCTCTTGTTTTTCTAAGGGTAAATTAGTCTTTTCTTGCCATGTAAAATAATAAAAACTAAGAGATATTTAATTGCTTCATTGTTGTCTTTGCTCGGCGGCGGCCTCTGAGCTTTGAACTTTTTGCAGAACGTTGTGTGGCTGTTCAGAGCCTCTTCATTGCCAATATGCCGCTTCTACCTCGCGCACAACCCACATATCCACCGCCCTTGGTTCCGCTCTCGGACAACATCACTTCTCCGCGCACTCTTCCGTCAGTCCGCAACACTCGCATTTCGCGAACAACATCACTTCGTTCATCTTCACCGTCGTCGTTGTCGCCGTCGCTCCGTTTCCCTGCGCTGTCACCTCCTTCCTCATCATCATCGTCTTCGCAACCATTCTCGGTGAATTCCAAATCCAAACTGCTCTTCCGAAATTTACGCTCTGCATAACAGCACAAAGTATTCAAAAATCAAACACAAAATCAGAATCCTGTGATTCGTGGAATTCACCGAGAATGGCTGCGAAGATGATGATGATGAGGAAGGAGGCGGCAGCGCAGGGAAACGGAGCGGCGGCGACAGCGATGGCGGCGAATACTTGTAGTAATTACATTAAAAATAATTTTTGTTACTGTAGTCTATTTACAGAAATGAAAATGTTTTATTTCATGGAGCAGTCAGAATTTTAAATCTAAAACGAGTTCATCTCAAGCGTGTAACTCCTTTTCAACTTCACCAATTTGTTTGCATCTTCCGCAAATAGCCGCCTTGTTCCATCTACTTCTAGTTCTAGTTATTGTTCCGCCTTCCTCACCAGTTGAGTAACTTGGGCACTGTCCTCCTGCTCCGCCGGACGTATAATGGCTGCGAAGACGATGATGATGAGGAAGGAGGTGACAGCGCAGGGAAATGGAACGGCGGCGACAGCGACGGCGGCGAAGATGAACGAAGTGATGTTGTTCACGAAATGCGAGTGCTGCGGACTGACGGAAGAGTGCACGGAGAAGTGATGTTGTCCGAGAGCGAAACCAAGGGCGGTGGATATGCGGGTTGTGCGCGAGGTCGGAGCGGCATATTGGCAGTGAAGAGGCTCTGAACAGCCACACGACGTTCTGCAAAAAGTTCAAAGCTCAGAGGCCGCCGCCGAGCAAAGACAATAATGAAGCAATTAAATATCTCTTAGTTTTTATTATTTTACATGGCAAGAAAAGACTAATTTACCCTTAAAAAACAAGAGATGTGTAAACTTCAGGTGGGTTGGCCGGATTCTTGGTCGGATGGGACTAAATGTGGAAAAGAAATTGAAGTTAGGCACTAATTTTGTCTGAAATAAAAGTCATGAATCACATTTGTCAGCACAAGTAAAGTCAAGGGACCAAAACTGGAAAAAACTCTTTTGTTTAATGAAAAGAAACGACATTTGTTTTCCGCCGTTCCGCACTCTTCCGCAAAAAATAACTTTGTTATTCAGTTTCATTTTGTATACACTGCAGTTTCGGTTCAACACAACTACAGTTTCATTTCGATATAACTACAGTTTCATTCGATATTTATAGACTCAAATATGTGAAAATGTTATTTAATTTCATTTTATATACACTATAGTTTTATTAAAACACAACTACATGATCATTTTGATATAATTACAGCTTCATTGTATAATATACACTCAAATATGTGAAATGTTATTCAGATTCATTTTATATACACTGCAGTTTCATTTCACCACAACTACAGTATCATTTTGATATAACTAAAGTTTTATTTGATAATATAAAAATAATATGTGAGTCAGTATCAGTTTAGATATACTATAGTGTCAGTTGGTAATTAACATACAAAAAAATATGCACTCCGTTAAAACTAACGACGCGTAATTTCTTTACTTAAAGAAACGATGTCGTTTTGACCGCGGTGCACATGCACCTATAACGACCCATTCAGTTGGGTTCGATTTTAAACATATTGGCCATGTTTGGTAAAATAGTTAGTCTACGGGCTAATTTTGATTTATTTGACCACTATTAGTTATTTGACTTGGTTTAAAAATCAATATAAGTGTTTGATTATTTAACTTTTTGTACTCCAAAATGCTCAAATTTAAAAGCTACTCAAAGTAACTATTTCAATTAGCTTTTTGAAAAAAGAAATTATACCAAATAACTATCAGCTAACATCTAATTTACCAAACACCTTTCTACAATCAGCTAATGTTATCAACTAGTTATACACTGTAATTAACCCAATCATCTAACAGGTAACAACTATCAGCTAACGTCATTTACCAAACAGGGCCATTATGCAATATGCATGGCAGAGCACGAAGAGGAGCAAACTCATCAGGCAATGGGCAAAGACATATTATGCATAATTGGATATGATTCTTGTACATGAAAATTACAAGTTTGATTCTTAACAATACTCATTAGTTAAGGTTTCCCTTTACATCTTCTATGTAATTTAAAAATTATGTGTCCATTCTCGAGAGTCTTCCTAGTGTAGCTTACCTATTACAAAAGAGTGAAATTTATCAAAAAAGCAAATACTAATTTTGGTATCACGAGTATTAGCAAAATGACAATTTTGGTCCACATATTTAATTTCTACCAATTTTCATCTACGGCTATTATTTTAGTGTCAAAATTCATCACGCAGTCACCCCTTCGTCTAAGACATGCTGAAATATGAAATTATTAAGGGTACTTTTGTCCTTTTCAAATTAAGATTTCAATTTAAGCATGCATAAAGAGATTTAAGCCCTAAGATCTATTCCAAATTTCCAATTCACAGTTCTCTTCCTAGAATTAAGGTAGAATGATGAGGAGAATTGCGAATTTGGATCACTCTTAGGGCTTAAATCCCTCTATTTATGCTCAAATTGGAATTCTAAGTTGAAAAGGATGAAATTGTCCTTAAAAGTTTTAGATTTCGGAATATCTTAAATAGGGAGTGACCGACGTGATGAATTCTGGTACTAAAATAATAGTCGTGGATAAAAATTAGTAGTAATTAAACATGTAGACCAAAACCGTGATTTTACTAATACTCGTGGGATCGAAATTGGTATTTGCTCTTTATCAAAATTATTACACCTTTGAAGGTATTCCTAGTGCTATTTATCTTTTTTTTTTTTTTTTTTTTTTTTTTGTAGTTTGTTGACTATTATCCTGAATGCAAATTTTCTTCATCATCTAAAAATAAAATAAAATAAGATGGCAACCATATTATTTCTAAATGCACAAAGATCGATGATTAATATTGGTCTACACTTCTCACCTGATACAGTATTTTCACTTGTCTGTGTATTGTCGGAATATGTTATGAATATATCAAGCTCGCATGGGCAGCTCAGTTGGTCACAAGGATGAAATTTGAGAAGAATAACCAGAAATTGAGTCTCACCAGCGACAGTGTGAGAGTAACATCTCAAATGGAGGGAGACTCCATGTGTGTAGTAAGTAGGAGGGAGACTCCATGTGTGTAGTAAGCAAAGATATAGCTTATCTGTTCAACTGAGTTACCATGATTTATATTTTCCTAAATGCTCTGTCGGGCCGAAGTGTGGGGAGCCCTTAAACTTAAAGATTCAACATTTTGGGAAAAATGTTATGAACATATCAACTTCAAAGTGCCATGAGGTAAGGATCACCAAGCATGGTATGTCTATGGATGTCCTAATCAAGCCAACCTTCACATTAATTAATTAATATAACCATTCTCTCTCTTCCTCTTATTTTCTTTCTTATTCTTCTGCATGTTTGGATGCATACATCTTCAATTGTTATGCCGTGCAACCGTGTGTACCGTTCTTGGTACACACGGTTGAAAACGGCACCGTATAGTGCCAGGGAAGTAACGGTGCCGTTAGTGGCACCGTTTCACTCATCCCGATATTTAAAAAAAAAAATTATTATTATTGCCATAAAACGCCACTACACTCCTTTTTCCGCCATTTCCAACGTTTCGTCTCCAACAAGCTACACATTTCCTTCGCACTGTAGCAGTCTTCATCTCTCTCTCTGTCTACTCGGAGTCGCGATTTTCGCCGTCTTCATCTCATTGTCGCCGGAGCGTGTTTTGTTCACCATTGTCGCCATTTTCGCCATTTTCATTCTAGCATTGTCGCCCGTTATCATCGCATTCTCCATCAGGTATAATGTATTTTTGTGTTTTTTGACTGTTAACATTCATATTCGCTGTATATTCTTGTTATTTTTGACTAGGGTTTTGCAACACGATTTTGCATTTTTCTCAAACAGATCAATACTCTGTTTTTTTTCTGTTTGTTTGATTGTTTTTTGGTGTTTTCTGAAATGTTTGTGGACAAATAGTTGTGATATTGTGGATATATAGCTTTATACTTGTGGTTTTATAGTTTAATAGTTATGCATGTCTGAAAATATCATTCCTCTCTTCAATTATTGTGTTTCTGAAATGTTTGTGGACAAATAGTTGTGATATTGTGGATATATAGCTTTATACTTGTGGTTTTATAGTTTAATACTTATGCATGTTCGAAAATATCATTCATGTCTTCAATTAGTGTGTTTCTGAAATGTTTGTGGACAAATAATTGTGATATTGTGGATATATAACTTTATAATTGTGGTTTTATAGTTTAATACTTATGCATGTATGAAAATATCATTCCTGTCTTCAATTAGTGTGTTTTCTGAAATGTTTGTGGACAAATAGTTGTGATATTGTGGATATATAGCTTTATAATTGTGGTTTTATAGTTTAATACTTATGCATGTATG